AAAAAAAAAATAAAAAATGGAAACCAAAACTCAAGCTACAACTACTAAACCCTTATTAAAATCCAAGTCTAAAAACTTTAAACCCAAATTTAACCGAGTTACTCATGAAAATGCCATCAAAGCCGCTCTCAATGAACTTGCCAGTCCTCAGCATTCCAGTATACGTGCAACTGCTTTAAAATTTGTAGTTGCAGAATCAACTTTAAGACGTGTAGCTAAAAATAATGGTGTAATTAATCGTCCTGGCCATCCTCCAGTTTTAAGTAGCCACGAAGAAGCACAACTTGTAGGCTATTGTTTGAATATGCAAAGATTGGGATTTGGTCTAACAAGATCAGGCGTAAATCATTGTGTGATGGAAATTTTGCGCAATACTAATCGTCAACATCCTTTTAATAGCAAGGGACCTGGCAAAGATTGGTGGAAACGTTTTATGAGAGAATATTCAGAGCTTTCTTTTCGAGTACCTCAAGCTCTATCTGAGGCAAGAGCACAACGGGCAAACCCTGTAATAATAAAAGATCATTTTGATAAGCTTAACAAAATAATTCATGAAAATTCACTTACTCCAGACCGTATATGGAACATGGATGAGACTGGCTTTGTTATTACTCCTTCAGTTCAAAAAGTTCTTGCTAAAAAAGGTGCCCGTCAAGTTCACAAAATTTCTCATGGCAATGTGCATGAGCATATTTCTGTTGCCCCAACTATATCAGCTGCTGGTGGTTATATACCTCCATTATTCATTTACAAAGGTGTTCGTACAATTCCTGGTTTGCTAACTGGAGCGCCACCTGGTAGTGTTATGGCCTTTACGGATTCTGGATATATGAAAGAATGTATTTTTAAAATGTATATTGAACACTTCATCAACTCCATCCCACCCACTCGCCCAGTTCTCCTAATTCTCGACGGACACAAAAGTCATGTTAACTATACGTGTGTTAATTTTTGTTACGAAAATAATATCTTATTATATGCACTTCCACCACATACTACTCACATTCTTCAGCCAGCCGAATTACCATTCGCTAAACTTAAACAGGAATATGGTGAAAATAGTGATAAACTTCACAACACTAATGGCGAAGTAGTAACAAAATATTCCTTTGCTAAAATACTTGGGCCGGCATATATTAAAACCTATACTCCTCAAATGATTATGAATTCATTTAGAACTACAGGGATTTGGCCTTTTAACCCTGAAGCTATTAGTGCTGATTGTCTTAATCCCTCATTAACAACTGAAAGATTGGATCTTTTACCTTATTCATTATCATCGTCTTCATCTTCGATACTATTGTCTTCGTTATCCTCATCACCTACATTACCCTCATCACCCTTATTATTCTCATCATCTTCATCACCCTATTATCCTCATCATCTTCATTATCATTATCTTCACTATCAACATCTTCATTACTATCATCATCATTAGACAATATATCTTTTCACGATAATCTTAATGCCACTTTCTCGTTTTTTTTTTTGTCTAGGCGGCGTTAATAACTGCTTTGGGCTTGGGAATTCAGGGAAGTATTTTTGTTTATTCTTGTTTTGGTTTGTGAATGCATTACTAACATTTTTTTTTTTTAGCATTGTAAAAGGTATCTTTGGGCTTTCTTAAGAATTCTGGGAAGTATGGTTTCATATGTTTGTTGTTCTGTTCTGGTTTGTACGTAAAGGACATCAACTACCTACCCCAAGAACACCTCTAAAAATCAGCCAATCAGATTTCGAGATCAGGTGTAACGTGAAATCAAAACAATCAAAACAATCGGAATAAACAAAAAATTTAAAGTAATAAAACCTCAACACTAGGGTTAGCTTTAAAGCAAGGTTAGAGCATAGTATATATCAAAATTTGGCGAGGAATTTTTTTTGTTAGAACACAAAAGAAAAAGTGCATAATTTCACGTTACACCTGATCTTGAAAGCTGATTGGTGTGCAGAATTTTTGGTGTTCTTGGGGTAGTTAAGGACATCGTTGGTATCGTCGTTAATTGAGACGTTAATAAATATACAATATACTACGCGTATATCATAATTATGAAATCGGTCACGTGATTATGGTGCACCATTTTTTAAAATCCTTTATATATTTATATAATTTCGTCTATTCAAAAAAAGTATCAAAAAATTTCGCCTTTTAAATAAAATAGAGCAAAAACAATTCCGTATTCAAATTTTAATTTCGGGTTTTAGACCCTGAAATAATTTCGTCCACAGAACGTCTTTATCTTTCAACTTAACTTTGAAATTTTATGAGAATCAAAATATTAAACTTTGAATTAAATTAATCACAACCTAATTATTGTGTCTATAATAATATTAAAATCTGAATATCTTACCTTAGATATTATTTAGGGATGTTAAATTGCGAATCCAGTCCGGTCCGATCCTAGGATCTAAAAAGACGGTCCTGGATTCGGTCTTGAAAATACAATACATTTTATATGACTTAGATCCTGCATCAGATACTGAATTGAATTCATCAAATAAGTTAATCCAATCAAATTAATTTTGTATTGTTATAATAATTCAATTCAGAATCTAAGTCTTATAAAATGTATTGTGTTTTCATGTGATTTAAGGATCGAATCCCTACCAATCCTTGAAGGATCGGACCGGACCGGTCAGGATTCGATCCCAAAGGACCGATTAACATCCCTAATATTATTGTTACCTAATTTGATTGTGTAGAGTACATTTAACGCAAGCAATACATAAAGTAGAGTACATTAGTGCAAGCAATACACAAATAATTTTTACTATTGCAATTGGGTAATGGGTGTAGTTACCGTCGGTATTATGGTAATTTGTGAAAGTTTGCAGATATCCCTCATTAAAGGATAAAAGTTGCGTAGGGTTTGCTTGTCCTTTGTTTCAACGAACATATGTAGTTATCAGTATCTATTGAAAAAATATTTAACAATTGTCCTTTCTTACCAAAATTGCCAAGGTAAATTTGGTTTTCTTCATAGATCAATCTAAAATGCGAAAAGTTAAATACATTAGAATAAGAATAAAATAATAACAATAAGAAATAAGAAATCATACTCTTGTTATTGCTGGAGCTTTTGTTGTTGCTCATAATCTTGTTGCTCGAACTCTTGTTGTTGCTGGAGCTCTTGTTGTTGCTGCATCATTTCAATTTGTTCGCACTCCACTTCATATTGTTCGCGGAGATCTTTTATATCTGTCAAGTGTTTTTGTTTGAGATTTTTGATCTCTGTTGCATGCTTTTCGCAGATATTTCTAATTTGCATTTCAAATTCTGCTTTCTGCTCTTTATTTTGCTCCTGAAGGAGCTCTACTTTACCCTGCAGTCTATCAATAGAACTTTGCAGGTCATATGTCCTTTGTTTATTTTCTTCTTCGTATCGTAATTTTTCATTTTTAAGAAGTTGTATTTGATTTTCAAGAGTCTCATATTCGGCTTTTTTTTTTTGTCTATATTTGAGATTGATTTCTTTTCGTGTCTTTGGTGTTTTGGGCATAGCACTGTTCGAAAGAGAAAAAACGTTGTCAACCCATTTTTTGGAAAAAACCTTGCATTATACAACCAAAACTAACTAATGATTATCTTAAGATAGTTTCGAGTGAAGCTATAAAATGTAACAATAACACATTCATTTAAATTGTGCAATGTTAATCCTTGAACATTTATTATCAGTGTTGGCAAATAGAATAATAGAACAAAAGTTCACTTTTTTGTCTTTATATAAAAAATGTTTTTTATTAATAATTTATAATTACAGTATTTAAATATATATTAGAGTATTAGTAAAGTAATAAATTTAAAATATTTTTATATTTAATTAATAAAATTTAATACTAAAAATTTACAATAGAAAAATAAAAAAAGTGAATAGTTTATCCGACATGTCCTATGCAAACACCAGTTATTCGGCCACCTAATACAAATACACAAATGTTCATCACCTCTTAAGAGGTGAGTGAAAATTTGTGTATTTGTATTAGAAGGAGGCCAAGTCACTGATCTGCAATCTAGAATATTCTATTATGTTAATCAGCCAATCAAAAATTTGTTTATTCGTTGTCATGGCACGTCTAAAATGTGTGCCAGGTTTGTGGCGCAACTGTGGCGCATATTGCCTAAACTACGAATCAGATTTCAAGATCAGGTGTAA